GTGTCAAGCATATTTGTACATATGTTGCCATCATTATTTTCTAAACACATACTTTCTATTAAGTCCTTGGTATCAGCTCCTCTTCCCCTCCACCCCCACCCTTGTGACCCCTTGATAAATTATAAATGATTATTTTCTTATCTTACACCGACCACTATCTCCCTTCACAGTTTCTGTTGTTCATCTCCTGGTGGTGGTGGTGGGCGGGTGTTGTGTGTGGTTATGTGTCAAATCACTGAGATTGGTTCCCTCTTCCTCCCGTCCTCTTCCCATCTTCCCCCTACCCTCCTGGTATCGCTACTCCCATTCCTATTCCTGGATTTCATGTGTCATGAGCTCTTATCTTTACCTATGCATACGCTCTAGTCTGGCCTGCAATTAAAGGCAGGACTGGGGTCATGATAGTGGGGGGGTGAGGAAGCCTCAAGGAACCAGAGGAATCTTGTATTTCATTGGTGCTATACTGCGCCCTGGTGGACTCATCCCTTCCTTGTGACCCTTCTTTGAGGGGATGCTCCATTGTCTTACAAATGGGTTTGGGGTCTTTGTTCTGACCCCTCTTGTTCTCACCAATATGGGTTTTTTGTTGTTGTTGTTTGTTTGGTGTCTTCTGATGCCTGTTACCCGGTCCCGTCGACTCTTCATGATTGCATAGGCTGGTGTGCTTCTTGCATGTGGGCTTGTTGTTTCTCTGCTACATGATCATTTGTTTAACTTCAACCCTTTAAGACCCCAGACGCTATATCTTTTGATAACCGGGCACCATCAGCTTTCTTCACCACATTTTGTCTTCAGCTATTGTGCCTAGAGGGTGAGCATCACAGAATGCCAGGTTATAAGAACAAAGTGTTCTTGCATTGAGGGTTGTTATGAACAAAGGTTCAAAGTCTGTCCATTACCTCAATATATTGCTTTATAAATATATATGCATAGGCCAATGCTTTATTTTTATGAATTAATCTGTTTACATATGTACATACCAATGCTTATACCTGTATCCATATCTTTGCTTCCTAGATATTCCTGTTTCCTTTCACCTTCCTTCTGCCCCACCATCATGCTTGCCCTTCTTCCACCTCTTCTTAATTCCTCTCAACTAGATTGCTGTTGCTCCAACATCCCCCGGATCTCTATGTCTTCCTCATTGTTGATTTTAATTCCCTAATTATTCCCCTGTCTATGGCATTGTTTGCTTACCACTCCCTTCCCCCGCCTCCTTCTCCCCCCAAGTCCCTCTGGAACTGTCAATCTTGTTGCTTTCTCCTCGAGCTTGCTTCCCATTCCTATCTTACATAAGTAGGCAAACCAACAGTAACAGAGATCAAACAAAAAGAAAACAAAAGATTGAATAAAAAGAGAAAAGGAACAACAACAAAAAAGATAATAACTAGCAAACAAACAAATGAAAAAGCATACATAATTCCAGGTCTGTCCACTGACCTTTATGACTATCCCCGCTTTCCCCTTCTTTGTATTGGAATAACAAGTACTTCCTTGGGTTTGGTCTGATGCCCACCCGACTGCTTGTACCTCAGCCTATATCGTATGAGATAAGTGGCTTTTCTTCTATACCTACTGTGCTGATTATACTTACCTCAGGAGACTCATGTTGTACTTGCCCTTTTGTGATTGGCTAACTTTGTTTAGCATATTTTCCTTCAACTCTTCCCATGAAATACTGTGCTTCGTGTGATTATCAGTGCTTTTTAGTGATGTGTAGTACTCCATTGTGTGTATGTGCCAGAGTTTTCTTAGCCATTCGTCTATATCTATAGATGGACATTTAGGTTGTTTCCAATTCTTTGTGATTGTGAATTGTGCTGCAGTAAACATTGAAGTGCAGACTACTGGTCTTGGTTTTTTCTTACCTCTTCTGGGTATATGCCCAGTAGAGGGATAGACTGGGTCATAAGGTAGCTCAATTTCCATTTGCTTTAAATGTCTCCAGATCACTTTCCACAGAGGCTGTATCCACATGACCACCAGCAGTAGAGGAGAGTTCCTATCTTGCCACATCCCCTCCAATATTTGTTGATCTCTGCTTTTCTGCTTTGGGCTATCCTCAAGAGTGTTAGATGATATCTCTTGGTTGGTTTAATTTACATTTGTCTGATGGCTAACAATCAGGAACATTTTCTCATATGTTTACTGGCCATTCGGGTCTCCTCCCTAGTGAAACTTCTTTTCAGGTCTTTTGCCCCCTTCCTTAGGGAGTTAACTGTTTTCCTCTTTTTGTAGGCTAGAAGGGTATTGTAGATTTTAATGATAAACCCTTTGTTGTGTCATTGCTAAAAATCCTCTCCCAGTGTATGGATTCTCTTTTTACTCTCTTGGTTAAGTCTTTCAAAGCACACAGGTGTTTTATCCTTAGTATATCCCACTTGTCGATTTCGGGTTCACCTGTGTATACACCCTTCCCTCAGTTAGCCTATGTTCCTTGAGCCAAGGTTCTTAGGTTTGTCCCGATTCCTTCGTTGATGATCCTGATAGTTTGGGGTTTTATTTTTAGGTCTGTGATCCACCTTAAGTTAGTTCTTGTACATGGGGTGAGGAAAGCATCTTGTTTCACTTTTTTA